TCGCCGGACAATGGAGCTTTTGGAGAGTCTTGGTCATCATGGTGGGCGCAGTGGCTTGTGTGATGGTCGTAGTCGGGTTCAAGGCCAAGTGGAGCGCGGTTATGCTGGTGGTCATACTGAGTGTATTCAACCTCTTGGTTAACAACTTCTGGACGGTGAGCGCCTTACGCCCGCCCTTAAGATCTGAAAAATACGGTTGCAGTAGATATACTAAGACTGACTCTTCAACAGCTCCACCCACATCACCCGCACAAGGACTTCGCAAAATACGATTTCTTCCAGATACTCTCCATCGTGTAAGTCTGTTCTTCTAGCCATGTCAACAGCGCTAACGATGTGTAGGGGTGGTCTTCTTCTGTTGGTCAACATGGGCCCGGGTCAATTCAGCGTGGACGAGAAGAAGAAGGTGTACTGATGCTGTGCGGGTTATCGAGAGGAGATGAACGTTCCGAATATGTGGCAAGGTCACATAGTTGCAGCATGGTCGGCGTTCTTCAGTAGCGCTCATAATGAACTGGAGCTTTCAGTATAGTACTTCAGTAGCGGTCAAAAAGTTCAGGGTCCTCTCGACTCACGCCTGTACTTAGCGAAACAGTACTGGCTAGTCTACACGCGCGTCGTTCAACTTGAGACTTAAATCTCCCAGGAGCACACTTCGACGACGCTCTGAAGCATACGAGGTGCCTTCATGTAGACTTTGACACGTGACGTGCAGTTGACTAATCGGGAAGTGACGTCCAACAAGATACACAACACCCTGAACCTTGAACGCACTCCTCTGTGTCAGATCCTCTGTTTCGATAGACTAGACCGTCATGGCTCCTCCCAATCGCATAATAATAGACACAGACCCGGTAAGTCCTTTGCTAGAAGTACCTTCAATTGACTCCTATCTAAACATGTTCCAAGGGCGTCGATGACATCCTAGCAATGCTCCTTGCCTTCAGTGCAAAACCAGAAGAACTAGAAGTCCTCTTGATCTCGGTCACATTCGGTAATGTGGACGTTCAGAAGTGTGTCTATTCCACAGTGTTTTCCACATTTTCACCATCTCTCCGCATCACGCCCTTTCCGTCTTCTCCTTCATACATCCGTCCAATTAGCCTGTCACTTGAACAATCTTCGCGATGTTACCCTACGTAGTCCTGTCTGATCACTAGCTCTCTTACAGCTGTCTGAGAAACGTCATCTCCATGTTCCACACTATTGAGAAAGAGCAGGCGTGGAGGCGCAAGAACGGGCATGCGCCCGGCTTTGAGACGTTGGGGATGTTCAAGCCTATCGTAGCTGTAGGAGCAGAGGAACCGCTGGCAGATCAGTTGATGATGGCGGACTACTTTCGTAGGTCTGCGTTGTTATGACAGACAGGACATGGGAGTGACTGATATCATTGGATCCTGAAGACGGTGTGGATGGGCTGGGTGGTATACATGAGAGTGTAAGTCCTCCCGTATCGTGTTTGTCGAGCGCCAACTACAGATCACTGGTCGTGGCAGTCGAGGTACTTCCGCGAGGAGCCCTTGCTGTTGTCATAACGATAGCCCGTAGTAAACGCAGCTCTGAGGTCTCTCGACTGCCACGACCAGTGACCTGTGGTCGGCGTTATATCATGACTTTGTCAACACTTCCGTTCAATGCTTCCCGATTAGTTGCCTCTATATCTACTCTCTTCACACACTCACGGCGTTCTATTTCTCAGATGGTTTCTAAGTACTGCGCAGCACCCACATCTCACGCCGGCCCAAACGTGGCAAAGCCTTCTCGAAGCCGCAAAGACGTCTGAAAGCACGGAAATAGACGAGGCTGCCGAAGCCTTGGTCGACTTCAGTCGTCACCCCAAATCCCTGTTCACGCCATCAGAAACCCCCGCTCACCAGGAGATCCTTCGGCTGCTGCGGGAGAACGAGAAAGACTCCATCACAATCGTCGCCATCGGCCCTCTCACAAACATCGCTCTTGCCGCAGCGGCAGACCCAGAGACCTTCCTGCGTGTAAAGGAGGTAGTGGTGATGGGAGGCACGATAGAAACCCCAGGAAACGTGCGGCAACCCCCTCCTCCGATCCACCCTCCGCCCTTTCTTCCCCCACCTCCGCGTTTCCAACTCACCAAAGCTCCGCAAACGCCTCTGCGAACCTCGCTAAACATTCGCAACCAGATCACGCCCGTCGCCGAGTTCAATGCCTACGCGGACAGCATCGCCGCCGCGCGCGTCTATGCCCTGACCTCTCCGCACCCAAACTCGACAATGCCGCCCGCGCCCCCAGCGCCGCCCGGCAAGCAAGTCGACGACGCGCCCCCGCCCTTCCTGGCCAACTATCCGGACCGCCTCTCGCGCCAGCTGCCCGTCACGCTGTTCCCGCTCGACATCACGACGTCGCACCTGCTGACGCGCGGCCAGTTCCGCGAGACCGTCGCACCGCTACTCGACGCCGGCTCGCCGCTCGCCGAGTGGGTCGCCGCCTTCCTGTCGTCGACCTTTGGCAAGATCGAGTCCCTATCTGCCCGCGCCGCCGGCGACCGCGTCGGCCTCGCGCTGCACGACCCGTTGTGCGTTTGGTACATGCTGACGCGGCGCTCGCCGGCGTGGACGCTGGCACCGCACGGGCCGGAGGACATCAGAGTTGAGACGAGCGGGCAGTGGACGAGGGGCATGTGCGTCGTCGATCGCCGGAACCGACGGCGCAGGGAGGACGACGTAGAGGGCGGCGAGGTGCCGGGCGACACGGGCAACTGGCTGGGGAAGGGTAGTGGGAACCGTGTCGGCAGGGTTGTGGGGACCCCAGGGGAGGATAAATTTGGCGCGTATTTGCTGCATCGGATCTTTGGGTGATAAGGGGGGACGGGGTAGAGGCGCGTGCGTTGATGTATGAGCTCCTTGGCGTATCAACTCTACTCATGTTGCTCACGTTGCTTCGTGTAGGTGAGTGGTAGTGCCTCCTCTGCTGCCGGCTATCGTTGCGCGGTATGGAGGATCCCGGCGAAGACAATCCAGTGTGACCTCGACTGCCACCTCAGGAACCCGTAGTCAGCGTTCCAGACAGGACTTGCTGTAGCAACAGCAGCGTAGCAGCTAGCTGGTGGAAAGGCGTCAAAATGGCGATCAGAAGGGGGGGGGCATCGGAGCAGAACAGCTGAACGAGAGAACAGAGCACTGATTTGAGGAACCTGCCAGCCCCAGTCCAGACAAAGTCCTCTGAAAGGGCTGTATGAAAAGCCGAGGAAACGGAGGGGCAGGACGAGGTCGTGGCGTTTTCCCCCCATGCTCCTTTCTCTTATTCTCGAAGCTTCAACGTCCTTCTCGTGCTTGTTTTCTACGTCTCGTTCGGGCGACAGTGCCGAAAAGACCCACTCTGTCCGACTGTGCGCAGTGATGCATCGTCCTCGTGCTGCAGGGCTCGCTGGAAAAAGTGAGAGAATACGGGAGCACAGCACACTCAGGGCAGAAGCTCACAGTGGAAAGTCAAGGTGTGGCATGAGGAGCTCTCAAGTGTTCCGAGATGAGGTTTTCAAAGTGTGAATGGAGAGCACACGCGGCGCACGCAGGTTTTCTAAAGGGACTCTATGCGCTGTACCATTCACAACACCGTCGTCGCAGAAGGAAAGCACGATTTAAGAAAAGAAGGGGTAGCTGTATGACCAGAGAGTGCTGTAGATAGCAAGCTCCTTCAGCGTCGAGCTGGGTGTATAGCCGGAGTTTACAGTAGAACGGTGGATGAGTCCAATATCGGAGTCCGAAGAGTCTGGCTGCTCGACGTCGATCAGCATCTCATACAGCTCCCAACCACGCCACATCAACAACGTGCAGACTTTCAAAAACAAGACGTCTCCAAGGAGCACACAGGACACGGGATGGGTGGCCAAAGGGGCAAAAGGAGCATTCCGCGTGGGACTCGAACCCACAGCCTCCAGATGAACTGCGATGGAGTTTTTAGAAGTCTGGCGCGCTACCATTGCGCCAGCGGAACTGTTTTGACAGATTATTAATTTTACACAGATATGATATTCAGCCCCAATACACGGATTCCAATTGCTACAACAACCCGCAGTAGTCTGCCCCCCAT